GAGATGGAGTCTTGCTCTGTTGCCCAGGCTGGAGCGTAATAGCAAGATCTTGGCTCACTGCAACATCCTCTTCCAGGGTTCAAGCAATTTTCCTGCCTCAGCTTCCTGAGTAGCTGGGATTACAGGGATCTGCCACCACACCCAACTAATTTTTGTATTTTTTTAGTAGAGACCCGGTTTCACGATACTGGCCAGGCTGGTCTCAAACTCCCGACCTCAGGCAATCCACCCACCTTGGCCTCCCCAAGTACTGGGATTACCAGCATGAGCCACCGTTCATTATTTTAATAGGAAAAAAACTATTAAAATAATAAAACTATAAACCTAAATGGCTATCAAAATGAGATTGGTTAGTAAATTGTATGAGATTGTTAGTAAATTGTGTGTATTAGTCATTAAAAACAATGAGGTGCACTTCTAGAAAGATGGAGTAGACATTTTCCCTGTTCCTTTTATTAACTACAACTAAAAACCCGGGACATTTTATATTAAGTGAACGCAAGAAGACTCTGGGAGGTGGGGAAAAGAAGGCAGACAGGCTAGGAACCTCAAGATACACATGACTGTGAATTCCCTGGGTTTTCCTCTTGCTTCACACATCTTTGGTTGAAACTGAAGAAGCTAGCAACCCAGAAAAGCCAACAGGCACAGACAAGAAAAGGCCCAGCAAAAGGCCGTCAGGACAGAGGCATTCTAGGAAGACTGAAAAATTTTAGACATTAATTCCATTATTTCAGCTAAATACCACAGAAGCAGCTGTGATCCTACCTACACCCATGCCAGCAAAAGCCAAGTGGGGAGCCCATGATTCTACCCTTGCAAGGCTGTAATGAAGTTCCCTAACCACCTCCACCCCCCATACCCCCACCACTACCACCACCACATAGTCAGAGGAGACCATGGGGTAGGTTCAACTTCCAGGACCACCAGGCAGGAACAAAGGTGCTCCTTCAGATCCCACTAGGGTGGTGTCAGAGAAGGCCTGGTGGGAAATCAGGACTTTATCACACAGTCATAATGAGGCCACCTCAGTGTAGTGGAGACCACATAAGGAACTCCTGCCCCCACCCAGCAGTAACAAAGATCATACCCTCTGGTGTGAGTGAGAAATCTGGACTTCCACCTCCTCCTGGCAGTAGGGAGACCATGATATCCTTCCCCTGCCAGAGCAGCATCAGAGGAAGCCAGCCAGAGCCAGAGATTAAAGTAAGGTCTAATGAGCTCAGCACCACTAATTACTAGAGGAATGCAAATCAAAAGCACAATGAGATACCACCTCACACCCATTAAGATGACTATTATTATTATTTATTTTTTTTTTTTGGAGACGGAGTTTCGCTCTTGTTACCCAGGCTGGAGTGCAATGGCGCGATCTCGGCTCACCACAACCTCCGCCTCCTGGGTTCAAGCAATTCTCCTGCCTCAGCCTCCTAAGTCGCTGGGATTACAGGCACGCACCACCATGCCCAGCTAATGTTTTGTAGTTTTAGTAGAGACGGGGTTTCACCATGTTGACCAGGATGGTCTTGATCTCTTGACCTCGTGATCCACCCACCTCGGCCTCCCAAAGTGCTGGGATTACAAGCATGAGCCACCGCGCCCGGCCTAAAATGACTATTATTATTTTAAATAGAGATGGGGGGATTGGGGGGAGGTGGATCTCAATATATTGCCCAGGCTGGTCTTGAACTCCTAGGCTTAAGCGATCCTCCTGCCTCAGGCTCCCAAAGCACCGCTGACCAAAATGCCTTTTTTTTTTTTTAATAGCAAACAACAATTGTTGGTGTGGATATGGAAAACCAAAATCCTTGTAGATTGCTAGTAGAACT